GTGTGTATTTGTGTGTGTGTGTGTGTGTTTGTGTGAGTGTGTGTGTGTGTGTGTGTGAGAGAGAGAGAGAGAGAGAGAGAGAGAGGGTGTGTGTTTGAGTGAGTGTGTGTGTGTGTGTGTATTTGTGTGTGTGTGTTTGTATAATGATTTCATGTGTGTTTTCTTCTGTAGTTCTGGTTCTTGTTTTCCTCAGCATTGCCTGTGTTTGGGCCCTCTGTTGTGCGGTTGTTCCTGGCGTGTAGGTGGCTGACATCAGGCTGTCTGGCGATGAGTTTTTATAGTTGTGGTGTGGGTGTATCTCTTTGACATTAGAAGATGAGGTAGACTAATACATGAACTACATCTCAGGGCTTTATCGGGTGAATGTGATGTAACACAGCGTGAAAACTTAGAAACAATCATCTACTTGTTGACTTTAAGAGACATTTGGGCTGTGAAGGTCTAGATGCTGATTTCCATCATTCAAAAGCAAATAATCATCTTGACCTTCACATTGATTTAAATTCATCTAATCCATACTACAAGTCCTTTTTTTCCAAAACCAGGTGCAGATTGGATTTAAAATAGCATCATATTCAAGGGACTGAAATGAAAGCAGAATAAAACTCTTAAAATCTAACATCACTAAAATTAGGTCTTTTATTGTATTTCTCTGTGTACACATCTGTCACTAACAAAAAAGGTATTGTTTTTGCAAAAAGTATATTTTTTCATAAAGTATTTTATCTATCCATATTTCCATCTCTCCATCGTCTGACATCTTAATACTCGCTGTTCTTCATTAGTCCACTAGGTGGTGTGAGTGACAGGTGAATATATTGAATTCATTAACTAATATATTCAGCATTTGTAATATATTCAGCGTTTTGTCAGTGTCATACAAGTAATTAAAAAAAAAATTGTTATTATAAAAAAAAAAAAAAAAAAAAAAAAAAAAAAAAAAAAAATATTTTATATATATATATATATATATATGTATACAATATATTAATGTAACATTGATTATAACCAGAAATGTTTCTTGAGCAGCAAATCAGCATATTAGAATGATTTCTGAAAGAATTAATGATGTTGAAAATTCAGCGTTGCATCACAGGAGTAAATTACATTTTAACATATATTCACATAAAAACATTAATTTTAAATTGTAAAAATATTTCACAATATTACTATTTTTACTGTATTTTTGATCAAATAAATGCAGCCTTGGTGAGACTTTTCTTTCTTTTTCGAAAACATAAAAATATTAAAAACGAAATAATTATCCAGAACCAAACTTTACCATCGCACAAATTAATTATATTTCAAAATATATTTTCATAGAAAACAGTTATTTTAAATTGTAATAATATTTCACAGTATTACGGTTTTTACTCTATTTCTGTTAAAATAAATGCAGCCACTTATTCCAAAAATATATAAAAAAAATATTTAAATAAATTAATTATTCCAAACCAAACTTTGCCACCACACAAATGAATTATATTTTAAAATATATTAAAATATAAAACAATTATTTTAAACTGTAGGCTAATAATATTTCATGATGTTACAGCTTTTACCGTATTTTTTATCAAATAAATGCAGCGCTGATGAGACTTATAATATTACAAATATATGAATTGCAATCAAATTTCATGGTATTACTTGTCATTTTTAAATATATTTATACATATATTTCAATTTACAAATTCACTGAAATGTGAAAAGAAAATACTAAATAAATCTTATATATCTAATACATTTTATATTATATTAGGCTACTAGATAAAGGTGTGTATGTATTGTGATAATAGTAAAAAAACTCTTAAGTTTTATTCATTTTTATTTTATTCATTTTATTATCAAGTTCTTTTCGATCATTTAGATCTGTGGTTCCCAACCCTGGTCCTTGAGGCACCCCAACGCTGCATGTTTAGCATGTCTCCTTAATCAAACACACCTGATTCAGACCATCAGCTCATTAGTAGAGACTCCAAGACCTGAAATTGGTGCATAGAAAGGAGACATGCAAAATGTGCAGTGTTGGGGTGCCTCAAGGACCAGGGTTGGGAACAACTGATTTAGATCATTGAGAATATTTGAGGGTGTACTGTAGAAGAATCTATCCGAACGCGTTTCTTTGATTAGCCAACATGAGATAAATAAGTTAAATAATAAATAATAATATATTTTTTTAATGGTCAATATTTGTAAATACATTTATACATATATTTCAGTTTACAAATTCACTGAAATGTGACAATACTAAATAAATCATTCTTTCGCTCTACATATATTATGTTATATATTGTTTTTAATAGAAATGCATCATCTCCTCTATGATGTTACTGTGTGTCACGCCCATATTGAGCTACCGGTCTTCTGATTGGTTTAGATCCCAGAAGGGGCGTGTCTGCTACAACGTCAATCACTGGAATCGGCTCCACTGACGCCAGTCTGTGAAAGCTGTTGCTGTTGTCGCGGTGCGTTGAGAGAGACGCACATCGGCGCGTTTGTTTGGGGATGTGCGTGATTTACCCGCGTCCAGATCACCGGAACGCGTGAGTACTCGGCTCATTTTCTGACGCGTGCGTGATTTGCGCGCAGCGCTCTACTAAATAAATCATTCTTTCGCTCTACATATATTATGTTATATATTGTTTTTAATAGAAATGCATCATCTCCTCTATGATGTTACTGTGTGTCACGCCCATATTGAGCTACCGGTCTTCTGATTGGTTTAGATCCCAGAAGGGGCGTGTCTGCTACAACGTCAATCACTGGAATCGGCTCCACTGACGCCAGTCTGTGAAAGCTGTTGCTGTTGTCGCGGTGCGTTGAGAGAGACGCACATCGGCGCGTTTGATTGGGGATGTGCGTGATTTACCCGCGTCCAGATCACCGGAACGCGTGAGTACTCGGCTCATTTTCTGACGCGTGCGTGATTTGCGCGCAGCGCTGTGACATGCTGTTATACTGCGGCGTTGTAATAATTACAGTGTGTCAGGGTTGCTGTGCTGGAAGTGCGCTTCAGCTCCGTGTTTCTATGTGCGTGTGACTCCCACGCAGCGCGGATCCGCTTCACTGCGACGCCAAAGCACAGAAACGCACGCAGACACCGAGATGCGTTCATGTGCGTGACTGAGTCTGTCAGGCATCGCTGCTTTAGTCATATATGACCAGAGAGAAGCATCAGCTCAGTTTACTGAGTACTCTGAATCTGCTGTCGTGTTACATACACTGATCGGGGATTGTTGCAGGGTGTTTCTGCAATTAATGGTGCTTAATGCACTCTCACAGGTTAATTGTATTTGTTTACTAACAATGTCCAGTGAACATATGTGAGCCTGGAACACAAAAGCAGTGTTAAGTCGCTGGGGGATATTTGTAGCAATAGCCAACTATACATTGTATAGGTCAAAATGATAGATTTTTCTTTTATGCCAAAAATCATTAGGATATTAAGTAAAGATCATGTTCCATGAAGATATTTTGTAAATTTCCTACCGTAAATATATCAAAACTTAATTTTTGATTAGTAATATGCATTGCCAAGAACATCATTTGGACAACTTTAAAGATGATTTTCTCAATATTTAGATTTTTTTGCACCCTCAGATTCCAGATTTCCAGATAGTTCAAATTTTCAAATATTGTCTGATCCTAACAAACCATACATTAATGGAAAGCTCATTTATTATTTAAAAAAAAAAAGACATTTATGACTGGTTTTGTGGTCCAGGGTCACATATATTAATCACATGGCAATTCTGCTATTTCCAGCACATCTTAAATCATGTATTATGTAACATCGTGCGATTGGAAATTACATAAAAAAATTTTTTTTTGGGAATTGTATCATGGCATCCTAATGTTATGGATACAATTTTTTGTAGGCAAAATGCGCCTAATAATGTTTTCATACTTTTAGCATAATTTGACAGAATTACAGCTTGTTTGGAAATTACAATAGAAATTTCAAGTTTTGGATGAGGATAAATTAAAAGCTAGGCCTGTAACAGGCATGTGACAGAAAGAAATGTACAAGTTTTGTTGTGATTGTCATGTTACAAAAAGAAAAAAAAACATGATTTAGGAACATAAAAGTGCTAAACAAAAAACAGCCTTTAATGTCTGTTGCTCAAATTTGCTATAGACCTTATAGACGCCGTTTTCTGTTTTCCGGTTTGTATTTCCACAGCGTTAAGGTAAAGTCATACAAATGTATTATTCATTTTAAAATCGTTCCTTTCTACAACATTACATTACAATGCACATGATAACTGTAGTTACTGTAGTCTACAATAAAGATCCACTTCACCAGCTAATTACTCTTCAACAGTGATGCCTTAGAAATGCAAAAACGTTTAAAGACAAAATTTGTTTCTCTGACACATAAGGTCTATAACGGCAACGCATTTACAGTTGTTTTGAAATCAATCTAAATGGTGTAAATTTAACTGTAAAAGTTTATTGTAATTTTAACTTTAAAAGACTGTGAAGATGCTGCGGTGAAAATTTGTTAACATTAATTTACTTGCTTAATTTACTTTATATGCTGTAAAACTATAGCCAGATATTTCATGTAGTTTTACAGTGAAATACTGTTAAATGTACAGTTTTTGGAAATGAAAAAAAAAAAGTACATCGACATTCCCAGAATTCCCTGTGTGACACATTTGGTGCTTTATCGTTTAAATAATTTTGTTTCTTCATAGTTATGTTTCTTCTTGCGGTTTTAAGTTTGTTTCTTTTTTGTTTTTACCTAGATGTTACAAAACATGTTTTTAGTACTTTGGTATATTAACGTTATATCAGTTAATGAGATATATATATATATATATTTATTTATTTATAAAACTGTAAATTTAAGTTAAAATCGTAAAATTTTAAATATTGCTACTGTATTTTTAAGGTAAGATTCTGGTAACCACAGCTGCCTTTTTTACAGTAAAATTGCATTATTTATTTATTTACTACATTGTAATGTTAGGTGGCCAGACTGGTGTTTTTTACTTTTAACTTGTAGGTGAAAAGCATCTCTCAAACAGTAAAACTTGACGCTAGCAACACAAAGATCTCGGCTTACATTATCAGGGCATGAACCTGACAAAATGAAAGTTTTACAGCATTTATTTTTTTCTCATGCGTGATAGGGATTTTAATAAACGCCGCTTCTATGGGTGAACTGAACACCATAACATTGCTATTAAATGACTCTCATTCCTCTGATTCTGACAAGTGAACGGGTGTTTTGCATCTGATGAAGTTGTCTGAGGTTGGAATCAGATATTTTGAGCCTGCGTCCCTCATGTTTTACATGTCCGTTCAGCTTTTGAGGTCATGGTGACCTTGCATGCACTCAGTCTGGGCTCTGCTTGTGTTGAAGTGAACGGAAGTCATTGATTCTCTTCAGCTCTTAGAGAAGAATCCTCTGTTATTGTCTCTTAAAGGTGCATTACGCTGCAGGGTTTTACTTCAAAACAACCTCTTATTTGAATGAAGTTAAAGGGGAAGTGTGTCAGTTTATTTGGATGTTAAAATACTTTCTTGTATGCTATCTTAAAGGAATTGTTCACCCAAAAATAAAATTTGCTGAAAATGTTCTCACCCTCAGGCAATCCAAGATGTAGATGAGTTTGTCTCTTCATCAGATTTGGAGAAATGTAGCTCACCAATGGATGCTCTGCAGTGAATGGGTGCCGTCAGAATGAGAGTCCAAACCGCTGATAAAAACATCACAATCCACAAGTAAAAAGTGTTTGCATGAAACAAATCCATCATTACGACATTTTTAACTTCAAACCATTGATTACGGCTAAAGCATGAGTCCATAATCCATAATGTTGCTTCCTCCAGTGAAAAAGTGATCTGGTCTGAATCAGGAGAGAAATCAAGCCAAAACGGCTCTAAACAAATATGTGGATGGATTTTGATGTTAGAGACAACAGGAGATGGACTTTTTTTCACTGGAGGAAGCTTTATTACGGATTATGAACTCGTATTTTGCCTAGAAGCAATGGTTTGAAGCTAAAAACATCTTAACGATGGATTTGTTTCTTACAAACACGCATCTTTTGTCTTCTCCAGATGTTAACTGATGCACTGGAGTGGTGTTGATTACTTGTGGATTGGGATGTTTTTATCAGCTGTTTGGACTCTCATTCTGACGGCACCCATTCACTGCGGAGGATCCATTGGTGAGCTACATTTCTCCAAATCTGATGAAGAAACAAGCTCATCCACATCTTGGATGGCCTGATTATGGCCTTTATTGACTTGACCAATGGCACGAGTTTGGGGCGGGACTATCTGTTTGGCTAAACAATGGGAGACGTGGGGAACGTTTGGTAAACCTTTTTGAAACTCTATATTTCAGTTATTGAAATGACGCAGTTCAGCCTTAAAATGCAGTATTTTAGTGTAGTTACTAAGTAAAATAAACAGTTCTCAAGTCTGATCTGAGAAGACAAACACACTTTCACACAAATAAAGAAATTCAGTGTCAGTTGGACAATGCATCGTCTATTCAGGAATGACAAAAATCTTTGAAAACAAGCAGAAATGCAAATGATTTCAGAAGGCTGGCCATTGTTTTCTCTTCTGAAGGCGTTTATAGTCGTTTTTCCCCTTGTCCTCCTTCCGTGTCCTCATTCTGTGCGTCTGACTCTGGGGACTGAACCCAGAAACACACGGTGAGTTTAGACACGTGTCAGCAGGTGCCGTCCAGTGTGCTCTAAATCTAGAAGATTTGTTCCTTTCTAGCATTTGACTCTCTTCGTAAGCAGTAACTGGCGGCTGGGTGTCCAAACGTCACACTCAAATCTCCTTTGAACCCCGTTTTTGATGTCCACTCATAAACCTCATCCCATTCTTATCCAAACCTGTGGCAGATTCACGGCCGAAAGCGTTTGTGCTGCAAAAACCTGCGAAGCGGCCTTGCTTTCTTTAGCCAGAGCGTTTGCTGGTCTGCTCTTTCTGACATTTATAGGCTGACGGCTGTATTTTTAGCTCTTTTCATAGAGGTTTGATTGAATTAGAGCTCATACGCAGTAAAAATAAGGCTGCTTTGACATTTTATTGTTCATTTGTTTGAGACAGGATGACCTGCGTCGAGCTCTCAGCCGCGGCATGGACTCTCTCAGAGAGCTTCATCAAGGGTCATGAAGACACAAATCCATTTCTTGAACGAACTTTGGCTTTAAAAAAAATCAGTCCTTGAGAACCTATTGAATAAACTTTATTAAATGGATAATATTCATATTAGAGTCTGACCGATATATCGTTTAGCCGATATTATCGGCCGACATGAGCCAGGAGCTGATCGCGGCCATTCAGTCAATACTGGTGTTTATACCGGCCACGCCGCGGCCCAGAACTCCTGTTTATCACATCAGTCACATCATGTTGCGCGGCACGACAAAATACAATAGAATTCTATTGTATTTTGTCGCGCTGTTCGCGTCCGGTGTTGAATAGAACCCATTATAATCAGTGATGTTGTCACTGGATGCAGTAAACTGATGCCTCGTTCTATTTATGACCTGCTGACACAAAGTTCAAAGGATTTTCAACAGTTGCTTTGTCGCATCCTGTTGCGGAGCAGACACCGTGTCAGCATAGTTTGTCAGTACAGTCAGTAATGTAGCAGATAGTGATAGTTAGTATCTTTCTGCAGTCCAATAGACGGCAGTGCGGTGGTGGCTTGAGTCTGTTGAATGGTGATTTAACGCTACGTTGTCACAGAGTTGGAGAGACTCAATGCTAAGTAAATAAACAACAATGTCCCCGTCTTTTACTCTCACAATGAGCTTATCATATTTGTTTGCTACATTAGTAGGGCTCTATGATTTCCGCGATGCAGAAAACATGGACGGAATCGCGGAATCCAGC